AACCGGTTGCCCCTCGGCAATCCTTCTCCGATTAATCGCGGGTCCAGCAAGTACGCCAAACCGTGAACGCCGCCGTACAAGAACTGGAATCGTGACGCGCTTGAAAACCAGACTTAATTCATTCACTTCCCATTTTACCTTCAAGAGGTTATGAGCCCAACAACTCCGTGGCCAGCCGATTCACATCGACTGCTCCCCTTCTGCTTCTGCCTTCGTCGCCGCCGCTCTCAGCCGCTGACCTCAAAGTCCGCCGCCGCCTGCTTCTGCCGCCGCCGTCCATGCCGCTGCAGTTCAAGACAAAACGTCAGCACAACACTACGACGACACGTTACTCCTCTTGCGAGTCAAGGGATAGTACCTCCGGGAAAGAGTCGTAAGTGCCTGTTCGGCTGGCTATAAACTCCAAGTTGAGTTAGCCGTTGCATGAAGATCCCCATCAAGTCCGTCATTTCGAAGACCGACGTCAACAAGCTCCGAAAGAAGCGTCAAGTCAAGGCCAAGAAGTCCGCGATTTTGCAGAAGAACTTTCGTCGTCTCAACGAGTCTAGCACCGCCGACAAAGTCCAGCAAGACCTTATTGACGCAGTTTCAAGAGTCCAGCGAATCACCAAGCACTTCCAAGCGACTATCCTCAAGGAGTTCGGTACCAGCGACATACAACTAGTCAAGCGCACCAACCCAATCTTACGTTTGATCGACTCTTTCACTTCCGAGTTTCGACCCTCATCTCCAAGTCAATTCCCGATACGATCGACGACATCACAAAAGGAAAAGCTTCTCCCAATCAACAAGTCTCGAGGTTAAAACTAAGTCTCAAGTACCATTCTTTTCTACCAAACTCATTCGAATTTTGTAAACATGGATATGAAGAACTACATCCACGTTTTCAACGGTAAGTCATAAAACGAATGGGAATGCAGACTATTTGCTTATCTTGAACTCAAAGAAGTTTTCGATGTTGTTAATGGAACTATAACATCCGAGAATGAAAAATACACGTCAAAGAATCGTCGCGCGCGCAATCATCCTTGCTGCCCTTGACAATCATCATGTTCGCATGGTTTCCAAGATTGCATCTGCCAAATCCATGGTGAATATACTCAAGGAACGCTATGGCCCGAAGATGTTTTTGGGTGATCCCATATCTTACAAAATCTACTCCAAATTCGAATTCAACCGACTGAAATCGATCGATCGTACTGCGACCGTTTCAAGATCCACGTCGACGAAGTACTGGATTCCGGCATGCGTGTGAACGCTGGTCTTCAATTCCATCCATTCTTGAACAGCCTGGACGCCCGCTTTGACTCGTTTATTCAGTTTCAAACGTATGTTTTCCAACAAGGCGAGGAATATGCCACGCTCCAATAGCTCTTTACTGCTATCATGCAGAAGGAGATTCGAAACACGTCCTTCAACAACGATGCTGCTTTGCACACGAATTTTCGCCGTCATCAACGTCAACAACGCACCAACGAATCCAATGCACAAGTGACTTGCACATACTGTCAAAAGAAGAACCACACGGAGGATGTATGCCGCAAAAAGCACGCCGCCTCAAACAATTCCCCACGCAATGGCGCTCCTCAATCAAGCTTCGCAGTCAAATCTCCCACGCAATGGCGCTCCTCAATCCACCCGCGGCAA